TGAGTGGAGTTTGTATAATCTCCCCCTGTTCTACAGAGTGAGTGAGTGGAGTTTTTATGATCTCCCGCTGTTCTACAGAGTGAGAGTGAGTGGAGTTTGTCTGATCTCCCTCTGTTCTGCAGTGTGAGTGAGTGGAGTTTGTATGAATGCCCCCTGTTCTCCAGTGTGATAGTGAGTGGAAGTTGTATGATCTCCCCCTGTTCTAGAATGAGTGAGTGGAGTTTGTATGATCTCCCTCTGTTCTGCAGTGAGTGAGTGAGTGGAGTTTGTGTGATCTCCCTCTGTTCTACAGAGTGAGTGGAGTTTGTGTGATCTCCCCCTGTTCTGCAGTGAGTAAGTGGAGTTTGTATGATCTCCCTCTGTTCTACAGAGTGAGAGTGAGTGGAATTTATATTATCTCCCCCTGTTGTAGAGTGTCAGTGAGTGGAGTTTGTATACCCCCCTGTTCTGTAGTGTGAGTGAGTGCAGTTTGTATGATCTTCCCATGGTCTGCAATGTGATTGAGTGGCGTTTGTATGATCTCCCCCTGTTCTAGAGTGAGAGTGAGTGGAGTTCGTGTGATCTAACCCTGTCATAGAGTGAGAGTGAGTGGAATTTTATGATCTCCCCCTGTTCTGCAGTGTGATTGAGTAGAGTTTGTATAATCTCCCCCTGTTCTAAAGTATGAGTCGAGTTTGTATGATATCCCCATGTTCTGCAATGTGAGTGGAGTTTGAATATTCTCCCCTGTTCTGCAGTGTGAGTGGTGTTTGTGTGATCTCCCCCTGTTCTAGAGTGTGAGTGAGTGGAGTTGTATGATCTCCCCCTTGTTCAACACTGTGATAGGCGTTTGTATGCTCTAACAAATTTTCTAGATTGTGAGTGAACGGAGATGGTATGATCTCCCCTGTTCTGACGTGTGATTGAGTGGAGTTTGCGATCTCCCCCTTCTCTAGCTCACCCACGTCACGTCTCCGAATCCCGTGGGCCGAGTGTCAGGTGCACCGGACGAGCTGGGCGAAGGGACCAAACTGTCTAGAGGACAGCGTTGGCTTTCTTCACTCCAACGCTGTCCTCTGGACAGTTTGGTCCCTTCACCTTGATGAAGGCCGCTTGTGTTGTGGCGGAAACGTCGTGATTTTTTGTTGTTTTATTTTTTACCCACGTGACTTTACCGAACAGAACCAAAGAGTATGGTTGTTTATTGTTCGGTGTGTGCATGATTTTACAGGGGTGCACCGGGGATGGAGGGGGTCCTGTGAGCTGACTGTTTCATGCATGGTTGTTGTGCTTTTTTGTTCCCTTTCTCTCTCTCTCTCTCTATTGTGTACATATGTTAAGTCGTGTAATTTATTATCGTTCGCCGGTTATTTGTTGACGTCCTGATGTTGTGGGGCACACGTTTTGTTCTTGTACGGTCACAGCCGGGACGGCTGTATGTTACACGGTGGGGGGGGGGTGATGAAGTGACGTATGACGTCACTACCATGTCGGGCCTGTATACACATGACGTCACTGCCATATTGGGTCGGCAGGTGTGACGCTACTGCCTGTTCAGTTGGGAGGCTGTTGATGAGTGCCACAGGGGTTGTGTCAGGCCATGGCACTCCGAGTGACCCCGGCCCGGACACGTGACCGGATCCAGGATGGGGGCCCTTGGGGACCCCGGGGGTCACGTGGTCAGGCAGTGGAGCCTTCTGGAGGGTTTGAGAAGGGGGGGGGGCGTGGCCAGGGCGTGGCCGGCCACGCCGGAGTGGCTCATAAGCGGGCTCGGCGTGCAGAGCTGGGCTGTTGGTGCCTGGGACGAAGCCGTCGCATGAAGACTCTGAAGACACAAGCCTCCAGTCATCGTGGCCAAGCAGTACCCTCCTGGCTTGGCCACGACAAGTAGTACCGAGTGTTGGCGTGAGTAGGACGGGGGGTCATCACCTTGCGTATAGGGTGTGTCGTTACAGTTGTGTTCATGAATACTGTTGCCTCCACCATTACACTAATAAACCATAGCCGACGTTTCGGGCGAATGGCCCTGCGTCCATAGCACATAAGGCCCGAGGTAGGCCAGAAAGGTGTAATAACAGAACCAAAAAACTACGAACTATTTTTGAATTTCATCAGGTAAAGTCCCCAGAAGCGACCTGGCCATCACAAATGGCAGCTCAACGAATTGGCTCATCATCGTCGCGAGCGAACTATATAGCGGCCAAACAAGCCTCAAACGATTTAAAGCTTTCGTGACTGCAAGGATTCATCTTCTTTGGTTCTTTCGGTAAAGTCACCACGTAGAATGAGAATAAAGTAATAAAATAAAACAATAAAATTCTCACGACGTTTCGGCCACAACACAAGTAGCCTTCTTCAGGTGAATGCTCTGTCGTCCCGACAGTTTTTGTTCCTTCACCTGAAGAAGGCTACTTGTGTTGTGGCCGAAACGTCGTGAGAATTTTATTGTTTTATTTTATTATTTTATTCTCACTCTACGTGACTTTACCGAAAGAACCAAAGAAGACCCTCAAATGTGTGACGTTGATTCTAAAAGTACCCGGAGAAAAATCCACGCGACCACGGGGGGGGGGGGGGGGGAGAGACGTGCAAACTCCAACAAATATACAGCAGCAGGCATCGTCACAGGGTCGGGATCGAACCCACGACCTCCTGTAGACCAGGCGATGGAGTAAACATCTCCTAGCCACCGCGGCGCCCCGAGTAGCCAGGGTTGGACCACGGTAGTCGGAGACAGCCCTCCACATACGTAAACATCTATAGCCATTGGGCCCCGATAACAATATCGTTGCAATCACGTTTCCTGAATGAGTGGGTGCAGACAGACTCAACCCACGTGGCCGAAGTACAGTCGCCACGTGGCCCAGGGCACAGTGCCTGAGCGGTCCGTGATCGGCGCCGTAACCACCGTGGGCTCTGCAGCCGCGCGGCCTCCCTGCCAATCAGCTACCGCTACTACGGCGACTGCCAACAAACACCACGAACATCCTCACCCTCCCCCTCATCATTAGACCTCCTTTGCCAGTACCAAAATGTAATACTAGGGTTTTTCCCCTTTTTTATGGCAACAAAAGTGAAACCTTCTTACAAGGATTCATGTCTGCATTAACCACAATACCCGCAGTCAAAATGCAAACAAAAAACATACTATGATAATATACGCATTGTCCTTGAAACTGATTGGTCCACACCAAGGGACGGCTTTCTTTTGAGCCTCGACCCAATTGGTGCTCGACCAGATGACGCCAAAAGGCGTACATTATATCATAGTATGTTTTTTGTTTGCATTTTGACTGCAGGTATTGTGGTTAATGCAGACATGAATCCTTGTAAAAAGGTTTCAGTTTTGTTGCCAGAAAAAAGGGGAAAAACCCTATTATTACATTTTGGTACTGGCAAAGGAAGTCTAATGATGTAGATGCTCACCCCGAGCCCTCATTACTTTGATAGTGCATTGTCTTTGAGCTGTGTGACGCCTCTTGGCGTCATCTGGTCGAGCACCAATTGGGTCGAGGCTCAAAAGAAAGCCGTCCCTTGGCGTGGACCAATCAGTTTCAAGGACAATGCGTCATATATTATCATAGTATGTTTTTTGTTTGCATTGTGACTGCA